GTTTAGGGTTTAGGGCTGATAGTAAACCCCCCACCCCCCAAAAAAATTCAATACAATTCGTTGTGGTAGATTCTTATATATTGGGAGTATCTAATGTTAGGGTGGGTGGGTGGGGAGGTTTAATACAAGGGGGAGGGGATTAGTATAATCATTGCTATGATGACTATTGTTATAATTCTTGTTGTTAGTATTACTCTTATTATCAGTATTCGCGTGAGTTTCCAAGAAGTATGGGGTTCCTTTTGGGGGAATCACCATACTAAGGCATCTAGCCGTTTGGGGTTTATGTTTGGGCCCCCAATCACCATTTATGGAGACTATCCTGCGGGGCTTGTGGGAGCTATGTAGGAATTCTGAGTTCTTTCCAATCTCGTGGGATTGATTTGGGGCTCTCGACTTGAAACTTAAAACAAATGTTCAGGGGTTAAAAAAAAGATGGAGCTGATTTGAGGAACCTTCCATGACACTTGCTTGTTGTTGTTGTCGTTGTCATTGTCTTTGTCGTTGTCGTTGTCGCCGTTGTGGCTGTTGTTGTCGTCGTAGTCTGCTGCTAGTGTTATTTGTGAGTTTCATTAGGACTGCGACGAGTGGATGACAATTGAAAATTGCTGCCCTCCTCTATGTGAACAATCAAATGAGCTCAGTCTCGGCAGTAAATTCAAGACGCGGACCAACGGAACATGAATCTCCCTTCATGCAAGGAGAGCTGCTTGGGGCTTCTCCAAGCACACGTTGAGGCTTCAAACTCCCAATTGCAAGGACCGCTTACAGCATGTCTGTGGGTATTTATCAGCATTCTGGTCCCTTTTTGGGTCCACATTGTTTTTGGCCCCGAAGACTCAGGGTACACGCAAAAGGGACCATGATTTTGACAAACCCCCAAGATGTCATCTAAGAAGATAATTGTTTCATAGCTGTAAAGTCCTCTTGGCAAAAGACTGTGGGTACTTCCCAAAGTGCGAGCCTGTAAGCTGCCACAAAGATGTAAGGAACCTATCACCTGAATGGGGGTTCAGGGTTTACGGGGCTCTAAGCACTACACCCAACAAAACTACCACCCTTAACAGCCCTTAGCAAAACCTAAACAGACCCAAACCCTAAAACCCCAAACCCCCAAGGCCACCCATCCTTCTCCCCCCAAGGCCCGTGCCTCAGTTCCCAGCTCAGACCGTTCCAGGCTACCTCCGGGTTAATGATTGCTGTAGGGAACTGATATCGTTCCCCTTAAGTAGATAGAATATGGGATGTAATCCTAAAAACCCTACATGGTTGCTAGAAGTGGATATGAGGCTACGTAGGGATTACATACGGATTACATGGGGTCATATGAATTAATTCAGAAAGAAAGTAAACAGTGAAATGGCAACGGGAATTACCTTAGAGTGCCGGGCCGGCTGGTTGTCAGTAGGGAATACAAAGTCAGGTGGAAGCTACTACCCTAAACCCTCCTTAAAGGGGGGTATATAGAGGATTATGTAGGGGACTACTATAGGAGATATGATGAAAGTACTGCTAAGGGTCAAGGGTTTAGGGTTTAGGTAGGGAATGGAAAATCAAATAGAAACGCAAGTGGAAAATAAAAATGGAAACTGGAGGCAAGAAGGATGATTGTTGGTAGGGAACTGATTGCTAACATATCGGAAAACCCAACGGGCAAGCAATGTCAAAATTACACGGAAACTGCTTCGGGGTTGGGAGCTTAGCGTACAGAAGGGAAACTGGGCAAGCGTTTATAGGGTAAGCTGGACATGAATCCCTGACAGTTTCAAAGTTTAGGATTTTGGGGCATTTTTACGTGTTCAGGGTTCCCTAGACCCTGAACCCGAAGCCGCATGTAGGGTTTGTAGGAAAGCGGGCTACGGAGCTTAAAAACTTAAACCCTAAACCCACTCTTGACTGCGAGGTACTCAATTGCAGTACCAGCCAGAATAACACAGTTTCAGGGGTTAGGGGTTCGAGGTCTAGATTGTAACATTGTGAGGTTCTGATGGTCCCTGGTGCTTCTTGGACTTCGCCTCTCAGGGGAGGGCCAGCGGTCCGGGGCTGAGGGCCGTCGGGTTCCATGACAGTCCCTGCAGTTTCCATGTTTCAGCCATTTTCAGCCTTTTATATAATACATACTATCACAGATCTTCCCTAAGCCAGTGAATGCAGCACATCCTTCAACATCCTTCTGTCTCTCGCCCCCTAGAGCTGCAGCATCAAGACGGCAAGGCAAACAAGGCCTCAGCTTCTTTAAACTTTAAGCGTGTACTACCATGCAAGATGCTGCCAAGCATTTTTTCGAATATCTAGATTCGTGACGTGATACACGAAGTTACACCGCGTCGTCCAAGATCCCCATTCCACCGACTTGCAGGATGCTACACAGTGTTTTGCGGTCCGCTCGAAAGCCCCCACTTTTGACATCCGCTCAGAGCAGACTAACCCAAATCAATCCCAGCATGAAAGTCAGAAGCGGCCCGATACACTGCACCGCGATGCTCGAGTTCGAGCAGGTCTCGCTTTCTGGCGCAACAGTACGGGCTTCCTCCTGAACTTGCAGACGGTCAAAACTACTGTCCCTTGTCTTCAGCCTTCCGCGGAAAGCGCTTAAGTTTGAAACGAAGGTCACAACAAAAGGACCCGATCAAAACCGTGCAAATTCAATGCGCGAAAGCGCACAATCACACCAAAGACGGTATCGCTCGATGGCCTCAGTGCGCATCGAACTCGCTGTCTCTATGTTCAAGCTCATACGACTTTCGGCGATCCAGAATCATGTCAAGATTCGTAGCGTCATTGACTTGATTCTGCTCTACATCTGGGGCAACCTTAGACTGCAAGGAGTCCTTCAGAAGAGCAATAACTCCCCAGGTTGCAATCATGGCCGAGCCAGCTACGCTGAGCGAGTCTGTCGGCTCATGCAGCAGGAGGGTCTGGAAAAGAAAGGCAAAGACAACTTGTGAATAGTTCATGGCAGTCGCCTTTGCGGCCGTTTCAAGGGTCAAGCCTAAGTTCATGAGGGCCTGCCCAACAATTGAGAAGATGGCCAAGAGCACAAGCAGTGGCCAATCCCTCTGTGTGTGCCAAGACCATGTCTCTCCCGCTGCCAAGCTCATGATCGGCCCCAGTACGATGCCCGCAGCGGCAAAGTAGTTCACAAACACCATGGGGTGTACACCCTTCAGGACTCGAACGAGCAAGTACACGATGGAGCTCATCACAGCTGCGATGGCAGCACCGACCAAGCCGTTCACGGCAACCGGCTTGGGCTTGGCACCAAAGAACGTCATCACAAAGCTGGGCTTACTGATCAGCACCACGCCCAACATACAAAGAACGCTCCCCAGCGCATCCAGCGGGCCCCATGCCTCTCAGCAGGTGCTTCAGTCAAACATGGTCAAAGGGGTTGGTAAGGGTAATTGCATGGCCAGCTAGCACTCTATTTCAAGTTAAAAGGCTGAACCTCTCCCAGGAGGAGCGCCGCGGCAACTGCCGTGATGACGGGACTCGTGTAGGTGATGACCACAGCATCGCTGAGAGGCAAGTGCTGGATGGCATAGTAGTAGCCACTCATGAATCCAAAGCCTGCAGCAGCTCGAACCCAAAGCAAAACTCGGCTTCCAGGAGGACCTAGTGGGTTGATCCTCTTCACAGCCAGCATAGACATGGTCCCGATAAACATGAAGACAGACCTCCAGAACACGAGCTCGTAGGTCCCGAAACCGCTAAGCAGCTTGACCAGCAGGGCCATCAGCGAGAAGAAGAAGGCCCCGATGATCATCGCAAGCAGCCCCGGTGACAGGGTTGGGCTCGCCCGTCGTTCCTTCTCTAGCAAGGGCTGCCCATTGTCTCTAGCAGGAACTGCTGCCTGGGCAATGGCCTCCTTGCCCAGGGCCACGATGCCCCACAAGGAGATCATCAAGGCACCCAGCTTACTCTGAAAGTCGCTGCTCGACTCATGCAGCAAGGTCCTTTGAAAAATGAAGGCAAATACTACCTGCAAGTAGTTCATGGAGGTGGCTTTTGCAGCAGTTTCTACCTTGAGACCAAAGGCCAGCATAGTCTCGCCTAGCGATGCGAGCCCGGCCAAAGCAAATAGCAGCGTCAAGGCCCACCGAGAAGGCACAGCCCAAGTCTCTCTGAAGGGCCCCAGGCCCATGATAGGAGCAGTAACCACTGCAGCCATTGCCAGGTAATTCACAAAGACTAGGGAGTGCACGTCCTTGTCCTGAAGAGGTATCTGCAAAATGCGTGAAAGCCTGAATCCCTGAGAGCATGCTGCTACGAGTATCTACCCTGACCATAATCCCTGTAACCCTGTCCTTGAGAATGCGAATGATGACGTAGACGCACGTGGCGCTAACTGCAGCAGTGCTGGCAGCTGCCAGCCCCAGGGGGGGCAGGTCCACTTGCTCGTCTCTAAGTCCCAGGAGATGAAAAAGCGCTGGTGGCTTGCTGATCATCATAACGCCAGTCAGGCAAAGGCCTGAGCCGAAGAAGTCCAGGCTGTGCCAGGTTTCACCCAAGAAGAGAGTAGCAGCAAGGGCAGTGAGCATGGGACTGGTGTAGGTAAGGACAACAGCATCACTCATCGGAAGCACTGCCAGCGCATAGTAGTAGGTTGCCATGAAGACAACTCCACACAGGCCACGAACTACAAGGATCACCCGGGTGCGGGTGCAGTCGGGACCCAAAGGATTGAGCCCCTTGGAAAGGGTGCTTGACATGGTGATCGCAAGCATGAAGAGTGACCTCCAAAAGACGAGCTCGAAAGGCTCAAACTTGTGCTGCGAGGCCCGGCCGGACCCGAGCTCTGCAGCCACCAGGGCCATCAGCGAGAAGCAGAGGGATCCCCCAAGCATGGCAAGGAGGCCAATCACTGGGCCCCATTTTTCCTCCATGGCTAAGGGCGGCAGCTCCAAAGCTGCAAAATCAGGACTCGCTGTCTTGACATGTGCTTGTGCTATGTAGGCCATGTTTTGCTTGCGACTTGCCCCATCTCGGCCTTCCAAATACTTGAGGGCATGGGACAAGAATGCACATCCTAAACTGATGCAAAATGTACGGTGAACCGCAAGCCACTTCGTCAAACCATCTTCCTGACCGAACGTGCAAAGATGGCAGGCCTGCTTCTGCGTCTGAGGGCGGCAGCCACTGCTCCGGAACCTGCAAGCTTGCTGCAACACAGTGATCGTTCATATTTCAGCTCGCTCCAAGAGTGAGAATTACAACCAGTGGGCTGCCTTGCTCCTTGAGATCGGGCCCTCCAGTGGCTCTGCCAGTTCTTGCTGGAGCAGACCCAGGGTGCTGCTCCTTGTAGGTTATGAAGCGAATTCGCAGCAGAGCAACGCAGACTTGTTCGGAATACCTGCAAACATAGAAGTCAATGCTTCATTCGCGGCTGCTGCTTGGCTTCCGCGTTTCCACAACTGCAGCGCACGAATGAACGGCTAGCATGTTCCGCGTTTTGCCACAACAAACGCTTGTCCTGAGCCCTACCCCCCCTCGGTCTTATGAGCCCACTGACTTCGTGGCCTTTACACACAGGGTCTTTCATAAAGACTGACTCCTGTTAGAGTGCCGCTCATGAAAGCCGCATGTTCAACGTGTCTTGGGTTTTGGGGACCCCCGACTTTTCAAAAATGAAAGATGCAGCTTCCATTTCATGTTCCATTATCATTATCCCTATATAACCCCCATATACTATAGTAGTTTCCATTCTATTTTCCATTATCCCAATATAACCCCAATATAACCTATAATCCCTTTATAACCCCTATATAATCCCTATAGTTTTCATTTTCTTTTCCATCATTACTATATAACCCCAATATACTATGTGCGCAACAAGCCCTAGCGGTCTCCTTCGCCTTCTTAGCAAGCTGCCAGTGCTGTCTCTTCGCTTGAGACTGCTGCCACTGCTCCCTGGCGTGGAGCCAACACCTCTGCCATGAAAAAGTTTAGGGTTTAGGGTTTAGAGTTTAGGGTTTAGAGTAGGAAGCCAAGTGATCCAAGGGTGAATGGAAAGCACTTTAATCAAGCAATGACGATAAGACCGACAAGCACAAGCGATCATCACAACAGCCGTAACTGCAGTTTAACTTAAAGGTGATAATAGTCGAAGAATAAGTCATGAGAGTTTGTTTGCTGACTTGGTGTGGTTTGGGGCTGCTAGGTCTCTGATGCGAGCGCTATGGTGCGATCCCCTAGCGGGTCCTACCATCACTTCTCAGAGAGAATGTTCTTCACACCGATGTGTGTGGGTCCGCCTGTACCGAACCCACATGCTCCCTACAGAAGTAATGGACCCGAAAACACCGAAAACGATTTCTACGCATTGCACCCCAGACACACACAACATCACACTCTGAAGATAGAGAGAGAGACCCACTTGTAAGCCTTATTGTGCTCCCACATACTTGTAGCTCTCACAAAATCCTACCCTGCCCTAGTAACGACTAATGTGAACCCTATATGCTCCAATAACGAATCCTGACAAGCAGCATTATGTGTCATATCGGCGATGACACCCGACACGTAGCAGCCCCTACCAATATCCCTACACTATCCTATGTTTTCCGTCCAGAGCACGGCAAAAACCGTCATCACGTAAGCCTTTAAAATCAAAAGAAAAACTTCCCCCAGTTCTCTGGGAGGCCCCGCAGTTCGACTTGGCAGTGGAGTTTTGACGCGGCCTGAACTCAGGAGGAAATAACACATGAGATGAGATGTGTATGTATACATATGTCTATCTCTTTCTCTGTAGGAATTTTGTTTGTGTTGGAAATACTGCACTACTCCCAAAAATTGACCAAGCCTGCTATCCAAAGAAATGCCCAGCGTGGGCAGAAAGAGAAGACTTGTCTGCCACATGGATCCCACTTGGGTTTTGGGTTTTGGGTTTTGGGTTTAAGAATGCTGTCGTGCTAAGCTAACACATCCCCAAACCCTAGACTCTGAGTCTCCTCCGTCGTTGTTGCGGTGGTGCTGGGTCTGTGTGATGAGGGCTTGGTTCTTTCATGGGGGTTTACATCTATGGGAGCATGATCTGGCAAAATCTGGAGGTGAAAAGATTAAATGGCCACACATTCATATTTGCGCATTGGCACCTAGATGTGTGTGTGTGTGTACATGTCTGAATGTCTGTTTAGAGTTGCAGCGGTAGGGATGGCATGACCGCGCCCCGAGTGTGAGTCTTGCAAACTACCTTGTGCTGGTAGCAAAATTGAAGGATCTGCACCTTTCTGAGTGTGACTTTGGGAACAACAGACTTGACAATATTCATGCCACATTTTTTGTGTTGCTGCAGCCGCATCCCACGCTCATGATATGGAGTTTCGCATAATTAGGAGCCCCTGTTGCTGAACTTCGGATACATAGATGCGGATCTTAAGTCTATTCCGATCTGTCCTGTGGACGTCTTCCTTCCTTTAAACTGGAAAACTTAGAAGGCATTTGCAGAACAGAGGAAGAATTGGAGTCTCTTTTAACTGGGCAGCATCCGAAAAACGCTTCTGATGTTAGGAGGCCCTGTCTTTAAGAACTTCTGTTCAGCAGCCGAGCCACACCAAAGCCAGCGGCAAGGAGATGACGGGTCGCCGTTTCGGGCTGACCTTCCAGGATGATGTTTTAGGGTTCAGGCCATAAGAGATTTACCATGACGAAAATACATTGTCCAATATAATGTACCGCCTGAAAAATTATACATACATGTTTCAAAGCTTCTGTTTATGCGATGTTGCGTTCTTCTAATGTCGGCACAACATGGGGCACTATACAGCGAGCATGTACCACTCAAGAGAAGACAGCGCTGGGCCTCTCGTGGCTCACGGACCTCATCAACCGTGCTGTCTGGACGCACAGTACCACACTCTTCCGAGTGCACCTGCAGAGGGCTGTCTAGGGTGTCTTTGAACAAGGTGGGCAAACTAGGAAACAAGAGCAACAGCCAAAAGAAAGAAAGTCAAAGGAATCATAAGGAGCTATGACAATATCATGATATCATCCGGTTGTAACTTGCTTTTGTCCTTGGAGTCCTTATTTCCGAGGTAGAGGATTAGAGGAGCATGAGTCACAACAGAACACTGGTAGTTGAGCCCTTCTTTGCGGAAGCGCTTGCCAATCCGGCTTGGATGGGTCTGGGGAAAAACAACTTCTTAGAAGTGTACGTGCACGAACTCAGGACCCTCCTCATGTGAGGGCATCTCTTGGACAGCCGTAGCCTCAGGCAAGCGCGGAAGGCTCCTCGAGTTGCTTCTGGTCAGAGCTGCAGCCGCTGCAAGTTTGGGTGTGATAAGGCACCGCATCATCAGATTGAGATCCCCCGTTTCCGTCGTAACTGCTTCAAGAATACCATCAACCAAATCCTTGATTGAAGCGTTCAGTCGCAGTTCAAGGGCGTGGAAGGAGATGGCCTTGTTCACCCCTTCCTCAGAGCGGGCATCCACCCAGGCACGCTCCAACACTTCGAGCCCGGATTGCGAGAACACGTCTGTCAGCTTTTTGCCGACGAAAACTGGCTTGGAAGCAGCAGCGACAGTCCCACGTTCCATATCAATCTGGAGGCTGATAAGCCTCTTGTGCTCGATGGCATCTGAATCGGTCCTTTCCGCAGCTGGGGGGGCAACTGGAATAGGCGGCAGGGTACTGTTTGGTGTGAAGATGGTTGGGGTCAGCAATGAATAGGACATGCGCGTATCAGACATCGCATCAGCAGCCTGGCTTCCAGCAAGAGATCTCTGGTCAGTAAAATCTCGCAGGCCCATGAGGTGCCGAATACGCCCATTGCTTGTGCGATGCATTACTTGAAAGACTTCAGTACGAAACCTGCTGGAGCAGCTGTCAACCATTCTCGTGTGGAAGGCCTGAGTGTTGATACTTTCCGGTGGGTAAGTGTCAAAACGGCGCAGGAGCTCTTCAGCACGCTCCGACTCGTCAAGCGTAGGCACGAAGTCGGTGAAGAGCTGGCCTTTCACTGAGAGACCTTGGCGGTCTCGGAGGAGCATGGCCGCCAATTCCGACGAGTGGTCCACCAGGCGCAAGTCCTCATGTGGAACATAACAATCACGTTGAGAACATCAATCACTAGAAGATGTTCATGCTACATTCTCTAGCGCTCCTCATCTAGCTCGATCACTGCATCGCACGTCAACGCAAGGAGCGAGGATGCAGCACTGAGCTCGGTAACCATTTGCTGATGGCGCATGTTTTCTCGGGTTCGGTGACTCAAGCTTTCCTGGCTGCTGCAGCGGGAAACTCTAAGCCTCCAAGTTCCCAACCAGCGAAACAGGACTACAGGTTACAACCCGAGTGTTCTCCTACTGGTTCAGGATCCTGCAGAGGATTTTGGCAGAAGGAAGCAAAACCTTCAGGTTAAGCAATGGCAAAACCTTTCGCCATCACGCTTTACAGACTCACGCCTGCAAAGACACTGCGCTGACCAGGGTCACAAAGAAGCCAGCGATCTCTGCTGTGATAGCAGGGGTAGCAAGAGGCCCTCCCTCAAGCGTAGCTCGCAGCAAAACTACAGCAAAGGGGCCAAAGCTGCAGACGGCTACCAAAGCAGGCTGCGTCGCAATGCATACTGCTGGAACGCGTACAAAGCCCAGGAAGGAAATCGACATCAAAAACACTTGGTTGGAGGGCATGAGCAGCGGTGAGAGGCCAAGCATACCTGCAAGCATCAGTGCCACGTACACGCCGTTTAGCTTAGTCACCGTCAGCAATGTTGGTAGCAGCACATGTAGCAAAGTCACGGCAAAGCCAACAACAACGCTCCACACCATAGGCGCTGGCATCCATCTTTCTTGGGTGCCAAAGAGGATTTGCAACTGTACCCCAAGTAGGCAAATCCCCAAACATCCACACAGCAAGCTCAAGTACAAGCGTGCCATCTGCAGACGGCGCTGGCACACCAGTTTAGCCATGAGTTGCTCTTCTGCTGTAGCTGCGACCTGAAACTTCATCACAGCACTGTATTTAGCAGCAGCTTTCCTGCCCATCGTTCTCAAACGGACTCCATTGGCCACTGCGAGGTAGCACACCCGCCCGAGGAGGATGACCTGAAGCCCTGCAGTAACAGGGAAGAACACCACAGGATCGATGATGCCGGACTCCATACGCGGCCAAGGGCGAATAAACCTTCTACAACCCGTGTTCGGGCCAACAGCTGCAGGGATGCTTACGGCCCTGCTCAGGCTATGCTTGCAATTGCCAAAGCCTACAGAATCATTAAAAAATCTTCAGTCAGAAGCTCCTTGGACCTGTGCCGGCAAGATAGAGGGCAAACTTGGATGCCTTGGACTGCGTCTTTGTCACATCCGGCATCTCTTTGGAGGAGACAGAGCTGTTTGGACCTAGGCCGTCTTTGTTGTTATTATCTTTCACCGATACATCTTGTCAGCAGTAGCAGTAGCAACGGTAACTAGAACTAGCACGACTACTACTAGCACCAGCCGCAATAGTAGTCGTCGTTGTAGTGGCGGCAGCAGCGGGGGTGTATGATGCTGATTAGCATTTGCTTGTTTGCTTATAAATTGTTCTCACTGCAACCAACCCTGCTACTGCTACTGCTACTGCTACCGCCACCGCAACATGCTACTGCTACCTCTGCTGTTGTTAATGTTGCTGCTAATCCTACTCATGCTGCCCTCCTCCTCCTCCTCCTCCTCCTCCTCCTCCTGCTCCTCCTTGCTCCTCCTCCTCCTACTGCCACTACTATCCTTGGTACTTGCACATTTTTCTCCCAGTGCCAGTCCCTAATTCATGGCTCATCCACTAGTGATATCACTCGTCATATTACTGCTCCGGCAAGCTCAACAAAAGTATAGGGCTTTCAAAAATCGGAGCGGTCACCCTTCAGAATTATGATCCATCTTGCAGGGATTCCCCTTAATCCCTAAACCCCAAACCCTAAACGAAATCCCTAAAGCATTCCCACAAAAGGAAAACTTCGTGTAGGGTCACGGCCACTTAAATTTGATCCGGCGCTGCTTCCTCCAGACTCGCCTCGCCACATGCAGCAACAATCAGGTTATACACAACATCTTGTTCGTGAATGGATCCCCTCAACCATGGGACTGCCAGCACGATCATGCACATGCGCGCCTTCCGACGGAGTGGGCTCTGGAGAAGACGGCGTGGAAGCCTTGGTGACCGAGAGCAGGCACAAGGTACAGGAAACAATCGGTCAATAAAAATCGGATGCAAATTTAAAAAAAAAAAAAAAACGCTTCTCA